AATAAACTTTTTGCATTTAATATAAAAGAAAAAAAACCTTGATCTATACATCTTTTTGACTAAAAACTCCTCAAGTGTTTGTTTTAGCTTCACCTAGTTCAAATTCTATTAAAAATGTCTTAAACACCATTTTATTAATCTGTTTGCTACATGTTGATGTTAGATGTGTTTTGGGTTCTTTTAGCTGCATCCTGTGCTGCAAACAATCAAGCTTTCGATAATGGAATGCTGTTATCACATTATCTTATTTTAAACCGTAATTGAAGTGTTAATTTGCATTTTTTAAATGAATTTCTAGTATTGTGTTTAAAAATGAAATATCTGCAGAATGTGGTAGTATTTCCATCTGATTAATCTATTAATTGATTGAATAATCTATGACTAAAATGATCGTTAGTTGCAGCTTTAGTTTTCTGACCAAATGGAGAACCGAACAGTGATCAGACCCAAAATGAACAGCAAAGAACTTCAACATCTGAACTCCATACATACACAGACTGCACTAAGAAAACATCACAGCACAGGTTCTTTACACAATAAGCTTGGACTTTCAGTCTGTAATGTTTCTATTTTAATAGGCTTCACATGAAAAGTATTAAATCCATGAGGAAAAACAATAAACTCTGCAACAAAAGCACTCGTTTGTGAGGTGTAAAAAAAACATCTATAAAACAGGCATGTGCAGCATGAACTGGACACACATGCATACAAACATGTCCAAAGCCTGGAGAGATTATGAATCCCTCAAAAGTAAATGTCTGTGCGCACATACGTACTGTATCAGTGCATGCACGCACATACACAAAAGGCAACATGAAGAATGAGGATGATGATGCAGTGACAGGAGTACCGCACTTACTTTCCTGTGTGAGAATCCCTGAGCTTGCTCTGGGGTAGAGAAACCATGTCAATGACATAAATACGTGAAACACAAAGAAAACTAGAGAAGGATCTCTGTTCACAGGAGGTTTTTTCTCAGCTGCCAAGCACAGCCGCTGCATGATGGAGCTCTGACTGAAGGAGTTTCCTGTTTCACAAAATAATTTTTAAAAAAATCCATCCTAATTACAGATATTACAGTTTCAGTCAGAATTTTGCATGAACTCATAATGAATATAAATGTCATTGTAATTTGGGGATTTTATTTATATATTCCATCCGTTTTTTCCCAGGACAGAATGATTTTACAACAAAGAGTTGGGTGAACAAGATTTACGTTTTGGTGGATGTTCAGAAATAATCCCAACAGAGTCAAAATTATACATATACTACGGCTGGACAATGAGGCTTAAAATTTTTTTTCTGAAAATGAAAGAAAATATTTCCAAAAGTGGCTTTAATTCTAGTTTCTGTGAATTTCATAATGGAGTATTGTTTTCTTTAATTACAACAACAGAGTCATAATATTTACCAGAAAAAAAAAACATCTTAAAAAGACTCAGAAAAAGTTGTTTAATTAGTTCTTTCAAAATAAACTGTTATTTACACAGTTTCTAAGTCCTGCTGCTGATAACAATTTGATGCTGATGTGTTAAAAAAAAAAATTCTAAATATAATTTGTAAAATTTCTACCAAAGTATAACTTCACAAGATGCTCAACATTCCTCATTTTTCTCATAAAACTTTACTCTTATAACTAAAAACAAAGAATCAGTCTGTAAAGTTGGCTTGAATTCAAAGTCCAAAAAATAAACAGAAGCTGTAAAGCAAGATGGCCACCTTGGACATGCTGACATCACTCTGAACTATGGAAACCCAAGGAGTAAAATAGTGGAAAAAATATTTTTTTCCCCTCCAATATTAAATCTTCAAAAACAAAACACTTTAATTAAACGATGAATTTGATTTATTACCCATCTGTGTTTTTCTGGCCAGTAATTTGATGTTATAAACACAGTCTCTACTTATAAGCTCAGTCCATCATTTTTAAAAGGTTGGGCTTTTCTAGAGACGATCTCTTTTGAAGCGTCAGACCTGCAGTCAGCCGTCTGCCGTTTAACTTCCAACTTTAGTGCTTTTGTTGCATGTCTGCGTTTCTTTCCCTCCTTATCTCTTTATTTATTTCCTGTCTGCACTGCTGTGAATTCAGGCCACAAGAGCCACAAAAATACAACAAAAGAAAATGTGCTGGTTTCACATCTCTTTTTAAACTCAACATGATTGAAAGCTTGTTTTAAAGTCTGATCTGTAGCAGGAAACACAGCACTGAAAAATAACTTTACCTGAAATGTGGTTCAGGTGCAGCTTCCTAAGCAACATACAGCAAATCAATAACAAAATGTATGGTGATACATCAATGATTGTTTCAAAAATCACTTTTACACGTAAAATAATTTCATCCTGGAAGAAAAACAGCTCAAATGTATCAATAAAAGAATTAGGAAAACAATGATGTTGGTGACTGTTACACTAATTCAATATTTCCATTTCAACAACAAAGTTTTATTTAAAAACTGTTTTTTCTGGCTTACGTCTCCTATTTTAGCATTGAAATAACTTGAAGTTTCTACTTTTTAATCTGCTTTTAGGACAACTTCTCAATTGTCCAACATCAGCTGTATTTTGAGCAAAATGAATGTTGAATACAATCAAACTGCTATAACGATTCATTTGAAATGCACTGGGTAGCGCTAATCAGTAACAGCAGAAAAATACTGATATTCTTGCTCATATTAATTAAAACTAAAATTCTGAAAGGAACTTTCTGTAAGGCAATGGGAATCATGTGCAGCCAAAACAAATGATCAATTTGAACAAACATGCACAAATGCTGAAAGATGCAATCAAATGAAAATGAGGTAAAGCTGCAATAAAATAAATCCAATCCAGCAATTTTGCATAACAAATATATAAATTTTTTTAAAAACTGAAAAAATATTTATATTGCACAACATTTGATCTCCATCAACCCTTTTAAAATGTACTGTCAATTTCCATAAAAACCACTAATCTAAGTGCTGTCAAGCAGTGCTTATACGTTTCTCAAGATACATTAAAACATTTTGGGAAATAACTGTTTAGATTATTGATACTTTTTAAATAAGTACAAAGATATTGATTCTGATTGAGTGCTATCATTGAATAAAAGTGTCTCGTTTTCCACTTTCATTGTGGTTTTTCTGTCCTGTGTCAGTTTTGTTCGAAAAAGAAAATTTAAATCTTCTGAAAATTATTATTTTGTATATTTTATAGACTTAACACAATTTATATACATATAACCATGTCAATAAATAAAAATAGAAAAAAAAAACACAAAATGTTTTCTTTTGTTCATTGATCACAGTTTCACTTAAACAAGTGAATACTGCCAGCTTCTATTTCTGAGACTTTTCTCATTCTTAGATAAAATAAAAATAATTATTTAGCTTTTTCAAACCAGTAAACCAATAACAGCGTCTTTTACCATCATTTTTCTATAAAATGAAAATGACAAAAACAGAAAGAAATAAAACAGGTCAGACAAAATGATGAATAACAAATTTAGAATGATGTCTAGAAAGCAAAGCAAAGCAAGAACTGGGAGAAAACAACCTGAAGTAGTTTTTTAAAAATTGTTTCACTTAAACCTCACCTCCAAATAACTCCAGATCTCGCAGGCTCTCCACACTCAGTTTCTCAGTTACCCAGCGCTGACAGATAGAAAGGGTTAATTTCAAGCATAAAAAAAGGCAAAATGAAAGCAAGAAAAAGAAAAACACAGAAAGACAAAGAGAGAATAATTAAGGCTGTTGATGGCAGTGGTTAATAATAAACAGCAAGCATGCAAGAAAAATTTACTAAAATGTTTAGTTGTAAAAGTTTCTGTAAAAACTCTAAAAAAGCTAAAGCAAAAAATACTCTAGCAGACTTTATTTCAGTTGAATTTATTCAAAATTTCTATATGAGGTTTAATATTAACCTAGAAAAACAGTGAAGTCATGAATCAATAAATTGAAACACTTACAAGAAACGACATTGATCCTCCTGAGGTTCTTCTTACATGAGATGCTGAAATAAACTTCCTTTGAGAATATCTGTGAAAATAAAGAAACTGTGATGAAAAGGAAATAATGTTTCATCACATCCTGTTAAAAAAGAACTGATATTGTTTAAAATTTAACTGAAAAATAGAACGACACGTTCCTAATGCATCCCACATTGTATACTTTTGAGATCATTTCTGGTTTTTATCCAAAAGCTGACATAATAACATTTTAACTACATGTCAATAATTACTTATAATTTCTGAGAACCTCAAACAGAAAAATAATAATAATAATTGTCTTTATCACAGAACAAGAGCACCAAAAATAGCTTGTGAATAAAGTTTTAATTGTTCAAGTGCCAGATTGAGCTGAATTTAAACACAAAACAACAACAAAAAACAAAATAAATGTTCTGGTGTTTTGCTGAAAAAAGAAATGTAAATAAAAATGAGTGCAAAGCCATTTAAGGAAGACTTGAAAGCATCAAAGGCTATTGATTCGGTCCACTTTAAAGGACAAAAAGCAAACTGATATGAAAATTTATGAAAAAAATGTTTTTGGATGTTGCAAAACCATCCAAATACTTAATTTCCCCCGTGTTTTATTAAACCCTTCCAGCAAAACGAATTCAACTGGCAATACTGATGAAATAACTGTAAAGTATAAGGGAAAATACGTACACAGTGATAGCAAGCGAATTGCAAATGCCACATTTAGTGAAGAAAAACAGCTATTCTGTCAGAGAACAGCTTTGCTAATGTTGCTATTTAATGGTGAAGGCAGCATCAGCTAACAACAGTTAGCAAAAGCAGCTTTTTTAACTTACTGTAACTAATTTAAATGGCGTTATTTGACGCATAGCAACCTAGCGCCGGCGAGAGAAGAGTAACACGGTATAACTGGGGAAATACAATGTTACTAAGTACCTTTATTTATCGGTCCATCCGCTCCTGCAGAACGTTCTCAACAACCCCGTCTCTACGCTTCTGGTCGACGTTACGCACCAACTACGAGGTGACGCCGCTATTACGTATGACGTAAGTAACGCAGACGCCCACTGCGTTCTAAAAGAAGCACTGAAACATTTACTAGCTTCAGAAATAGGTAAACAAATGCACAAATATTTGTTCTCAAAATTAGCATTGTTTTTATTAATGATTTATACTTTATAGCGCAACTGACTATCGAGGTTTTTCACCGTTCCGTAGAATATATTGCTTTTCTTCGCACACATTAGCCTTGGCCGGAATGCGGCCTTGAGCTAATGCTAGCATGTTGTGTTGTAAAACGAAAATCAAATCGTTGTTGCAAAGCGTGAATCTTTAAAGATTGGAAATATTTGATGGAGCACAATTGTTTAGATGTACACATACTTACTCATTTGCATTGCGTTTTGATTCTTTTTAGTCTTTTTGCGAATGAAGCTCAAATATTGAATGATATCTAAACTAATGAAGGAATTTATATCTATATCCTGCATATCTAAGAAATCCTTATGAAGAAAATGTCTTAAAATCAAAATATATACATTCAGCAAACCAATTTTGTGGATGTAGCTTTGATGACATTGGTTGAATATAGAATCAGCAGTTGGATTTAAAGAAGCTCCTGAGATATTTTAAATCCTTTTGGTTTTCCTAATGTACTTTAATAAATTACCTCAGCCATTTAGTTATGAATCTATCAATGTTTATAGTCAGAACCTCACTACAATAAAGACTTAAAAAATTAAAGCTTACCAGCGATGAACAAGAGTATTTTACTGCAGTGATTATATTCAGTAACTGTACTGCTAAATGGTACATAATACATGTATTTTTAATAATCTTTTGAGACAAATAGCATAAATTCCTGATGCCAACTGTGGAAAAGTAGTTTAAACAGTAACAATTACAGTTTGGTTATTACAAGCGGAGAATTTCATAATTTCACAGTTTTTATTTCCTTTTTTGATGGACTAAAATCTTTGATTCTGTTTTACAGACTGTAATGAGGATCAAATACAAATCTCACAGAGGGAATAAAGCAGTTCAAACATTTGTTTGTTTTTCACAGTGCAGCCATGAACTGGAACAAAGGCGGCCCAGGAGTGAAGCGTGGGTTTGGTTTTGGAGGTTTTTCCCTTGCAGGGAAGAAAGAGGAGCCTAATGCTCCACCAAAATCTCACACATCACTTGGAGCTTCTGGATCAAGTGGCAGTTATGGAAAAAGCCCACAGCTTCCATCTTTCTACAAAATAGGGTCCAAAAGAGCTAATTTTGATGAAGAAAACGCGTAAGTGACAGCTACCTTCAGTGAATTTACTGTTTTTCACAATATTAGTTAAACTGCTAAGATCTGAATGACATGTAAATGCAATTATGCAAATTAATGTATGTTTTTTCGTTGTTGTAGGTATTTCGAAGACGATGAAGAAGAGTCCAGCAGCAACGCTGATCTGCCCTACATTCCTGCTGAGAACTCGCCCACGCGGCAGCAGATGAAGTCGGGCGGCGGCGGCGGCTCCGACAGCGAAGACGACCCGTTGGATGCCTTTATGGCAGAGGTTGAGGTGGGAAAGTTACATAAAGTGAATTATTATTGTTGAACTCTGAAGCATAAAAATCCACCACTCACAAAGACTGGAAAAGTGAAACTGAAGATTAGGCCTGTCGATAAGTTAAAATGAGCTCAACAATCTCCATTCTGATCATTAATATTTTGTTTACAGAGACACTATAATGCATTTTAGCTATAGTTTCTCTAGAAAAGTGGTTTTCATTTACGTTTTATTTACTATTTTTGGTTGTGTTTTATTCTGGGTGTTTAAATATTCTCCAGTTCCAGTGTTCTTTATAAAATACAAGTTTTTTGGTCTTACATATGGTAAAGTTGCATTGTTATAGCATTATCAACACATTACTTGAAAATTGTCTCTAACAACGATACTATCAATCATCGCAGTAATTCTTTATATAGTTGATCGTCCAGCAAAATTTATTTTCAGGGTATATCCATTGAAGATGTGATGTTTCATTTTATTTCTCAGTGGTTCCAACAATGAATCTGAATCTATCTTTAAACATTCACACAAAATAAATTGTTGTATTTTACTATTTTATTTCCTTTTCTCAGAACCAAGCAGCTAAAGACATGAGGAAACTAGAAGAAAAGGAGAAAAAATCAACCAAGTAAGTATTTACATTTAATATATCTGTTAAAAAAAGAAATTCCTGAGGAAAAAAAATGATTAAAGTTGAAACTTTACAGTAATTATTTTAGGTTTCTGTCTGATTTTTCTTATTTTCTCAAGTTGGTTGATACTTTTGTGGTTTTGCATTGTTCTTTTAACTGGGGGGGAGGGAAAGTCACAAAACAAAAGTGACGCGTTAGGCAGAGTCATTGTGGGATGTGGGCTGCTTTTGGTGTATGAACGAGTTGCAGGGAAGTTTTTTTTTCTCCGCTTGTTTTTTTCAGGGGTATTCGTGATGACATTGAGGAAGAAGATGAGCAAGTGAGTGAGCTTTCCAAAGTTTTTCAATCCAGAGACGTACTTCCTGTATCCTCTCCAATCTTTCATTCTGCATCACATTTCTCTGACTCCGCAGGTTGCAATTAGGATCATTGTTGTGGCCTGATTTTTGTGAATTTTCTGTTTTTATTTAAATTCTACAATTTACAATTTTGTATTTGTAGTTGCTCGACTATGAAGTGCACCAAATTATGTTAGTTTTTAAAATAAGTGCTGTATTCTCTACAGGAAGCGTATTTCCGCTACATGGCAGAGAATCCCACAGCTGGGCTGACCCAGGAGGAAGAGGAGGAAAACATCGACTATGACAGTGATGGAAACCCAATTCCTTCTACAACCAAGAAAATAATCCTGCCGCTGCCACCTATTGATCACTCAGAGGTACTCTCATTAGTAGAAATCACTTTAACTGATTTACTGTAAGGAAAATCAAAATATATATATTTTTTTTGTGATTTGTGAATCTCATAGATCGACTACCCACCTTTTGAGAAAAACTTTTACAATGAACACGAGGAGCTGAGCATTCTCAACGGCAGCCAGGTGTTGGAGCTGAGGCAAAAACTCAACTTGAGAGTAAGTCAGTTATTTATTCATTTATTTATCTATTTCACATTCAAATTGCTATTTTATTCCGGATACTTCTACAAGGTGGCTTTAAATTAGGTTCTGAAAGGTTCTGAAAGTGCTTGATTTCTGTCTAAAGTCCTTTATAAGTGAATGATATTCAAACTGCACATTTTTGTAATAAATTGCAATCTAACGTTATATTGAAAGCCTAAATTTGGAAAACGTTATTTACAGTTGAAACCAGATATTTATGGAGGACCAAACTTGACATAATTAAAAATAAATGTAGAAATATATATATATTGTTTTTCCTTTTCCTTGAAAATGCAGAAAATCCAGAATATAAAAACATTTCTTGACAAAAATGCATGTTTAAGAAAAAGGACAAATAAAATATATGTTTCTGGTTTTATTTCTAATTATGTCAGTTTAGGATATTTTCAGACGCTGAATAAAAAGACACAGACATGTTTTTTTGCTCACGTTCCAAAGTTAAATCAAACAAAAATTTTGTTATTTTAAATCAGTCATTACAAAAATTATTTCTGTTTGATAAATGCCACAAAACTTAGCAAATTTTTTTTTAGATTTTTTAAGCATTTAATTTGACCAGGAAGGTTGTTTACCTTGACATGATTTGGTTGAATTGTTTCAGAAATAAAAAATATTTTTTTTCTTTCATTTTTTTTCTCTTTTCTTTCCTTCTTTCTCTTCTCATTTTTCTCCGTTCTTATCTTTTCTTTTTGCTCATTCTTTTGTTTTCTTTTCTTCCCTCAGGTTTCTGGTGCTGCTCCTCCTAAACCTTGCACCAGCTTTGCTCACTTCGGCTTCGATGAGCAGCTGATGCATCAGATTCGAAAGTCTGAGTACACTCAGCCCACACCGATCCAGTGTCAGGTTCAGTAAAAGTTTACTTTCATTTTTCAAGCTGTAGAGTTTAAGCCAGAAATTGATCCAACAACATTATTTGTCCCAACCGTTCTTCCAGGGAGTCCCCATTGCCCTTTCTGGACGCGACATGATCGGCATTGCAAAAACAGGAAGTGGTAAAACGGCAGCGTTCATCTGGCCGATGCTGGTTCACATCATGGACCAGAAGGAGCTGGAGCCCGGAGAGGGACCCATAGCAGTCATCGTCTGTCCCACCAGGGAGCTCTGTCAGCAGGTAAACAACTGGAGTGTTTTTACCCAAAAGTAAATAAGCTGAAGAGTTTAATTATTATACTTACGTTCTGCAGATCCATGCAGAGTGTAAGCGTTTCGGGAAAGCGTACTCGCTGCGTTCTGTGGCTGTTTATGGAGGCGGCAGCATGTGGGAGCAGGCCAAGGCTCTGCAGGAGGGAGCAGAGATCGTCGTGTGCACGCCGGTGAGAAACTTCATCTGCTTTTTCTTCCTGCTGCTGACGTCGAAATGCATAAACGAGAACTTCACCGAATGAAATATGTTTACGCAGGGTCGCCTGATTGACCATGTTAAAAAAAAGGCCACATCCTTACAGAGAGTGACATATCTGGTGTTTGATGAAGCTGACCGCATGTTTGATATGGGATTTGGTAAGCTGGCACGATTATTTTTTATATTGTTACCATTTTTTTATGCATGTAAATAAACAATTCTCTCTTCTTATTTAGAATATCAGGTGAGATCAGTTGCAAGCCATGTTCGCCCAGACAGGCAGAGTAAGTCATGTTTAGATTTTTAACCTTAATAAATAAGTTCTGGAATGATAAATTGTCCTAGAACTTAATAAAATAAACTATAATATTATTGTTCAGAGGCCATTTTCAAGTGGAGGTGCAATAATAATGCAGAAACATTCTGGAAAATCAATAAACTTTAAATTCTAATGAACATTTAATACTGGAACTGGAAGACATTTTAAATATCCAATTTTGTTCAGATTTGCCTTTATTATTGCTTTGACTCTGTTGTTCTTTCACACAAAAGCCCTTTTTAGAGTCTCTGTAATCCTTTTAACTATTTATCAGTTACTGAATTTGTTACAATTATTTGTAACAACTGAATTACTGACAATTATTTCAATAATTGATTTATCATGATTATTCAGCCCTGATTGCTACTTTTGCAGCTCTTCTCTTCAGCGCCACTTTTCGGAAAAAAATCGAGAGGTTGGCGAGGGACATTTTAGTCGATCCTATTCGGGTTGTGCAGGGCGACATCGGAGAGGTAATTAAATTTTTGCAAAGATGATTTTCATATAAATACATTTTAGGACAAGATTGTGTTTCAAATATTTACTTGTCAGAGCATTCAGCTGCAGATTTTATGTCTTTCTGTCAACTGTTTTGCTTAAAAGGCCAACGAGGACGTGACTCAGGTGGTGGAGCTGCTGCTCAGCGGATCAGATAAATGGAACTGGCTGACCCGAAGGCTGGTCGAGTTCACTTCCACCGGCTCTGTGCTCATTTTCGTTACCAAGAAGGCCAACTCTGAGGAGTTGGCCACTAATCTGACTCAGGAGGGCTACAGCCTCGGCCTCCTGCACGGAGACATGGACCAGAGCGAGAGGAACAAAGTCATCAGCGACTTCAAGAAGAAAAATTTGCCCGTTCTGGTTGCCACTGATGTAGCCGGTGTTTACTTCCACTTCTTCTACATCTTTCAATATTTTGATAAATACATTTGTTACATGAGCTGAATAACTCTATTTAGAATAATTTTAAAATGCAACAAATTGTAACCTCTCTGTCCTTCCGCCAGCCCGTGGTCTGGACATCCCGTCAATTCGCACCGTGGTGAACTACGACGTGGCGCGCGACATCGATACGCACACTCACAGAATCGGCCGAACGGGTCGCGCCGGGGAGAAAGGAGTCGCTTACACCCTCCTGACCAGCAAAGACACTTCGTTTGCCGGCGACTTGGTGCGAAACCTGGAGGGAGCCAATCAGGCCGTTCCCAAAGAGCTCATGGATTTAGCCATGCAGGTGGGATTCACACGGAAAAATCATCAAATTTTGACACGATCGCGGTTTTCTGGACGAAAGTTAAAAAGACTGACCTACCGATTGTGATTTTGGTCAATACCATTTTTTAAAAATATTGCAACATTTAGTACACTTGAAACAAAATAAGACTGATTTACAACTAACTTTTACCAACCTATAGAAACTTGTTTTCATTAAAAATTTATTCTAAATATTGATAAAAAATATTTATGGGAAAAATCTCTTCCCATAACTGAAATAATCTGCCAGAGAAATTGGTACTTTTGATCAATTTTTAGTATTTTTGTTTTCAAAATTGTTTTTATTTTTATTATTTATGACAAAAACATTTCAGAACCCATATTTGAATGCAATAGGATATGCATTATAAACAAAAAGCCAACTTTAAAACAGTCTCTAGATTTGAGCAGTTCAAAGTCTGATTTTTTTCTCTATTTTCCTGATATATTCATTAAATGCTTCCAAATTGTTTCGAATTTGCCAATTTTGCCCCTGCAATATATAAAAAATCCTTTCCAGTGAAAGAGTCGTTATTATTCCACTGTAATAATATATTTACATTATTTAGCATTCAGTAGCCCTACATCCGAGAGAATCAGTTTAAGGAATTATTTACTTAAAACAAGCTGCAATTTCTTCCTTATAAGTTACTTGTAAGTTAGTTTTGCCTTAACTTTGGTAAGATTTTGTGTAATATTTATATTGATCTCCCCCAGAATCCGTGGTTCAGGAAATCGCGGTTTAAGGGAGGTAAAGGAAAGAGGCTGAACATCGGTGGAGGCGGTCTTGGTTACAAAGAGAGACCAGGTCTGGGGGCCGAGACCTCTGTAAGTCACTTATCCACATAAAGTCAATTTGCTTTTCTTGATGTTAAAATGATAGCACAGAAATGTCATACAATACCTCTGAATTAGGGCTGGGCAACATGACTTCAAGTGATTGGGGCTTTTTTTCACACCAGATCTGATTTTAATAATTTTTTTTAGATTAATTACAAATCACAGAAAATATTTTCAAGAAGTCATTTTTTTTTTTTTTTTACAAAATATTACAGCCAGGCTATAAAAATGTTAGTTTAATTGAACACTATAGTAGTCATAATATGAATTTTAATGGAAAAAAAGCTTGAATAATTTTTTGGGAGTTCATTCTCCAAACATTACGACTTCATTCTGGTAATATTAAGACTTTACTTCTATAATACTATGACTGTTCTTTTTAAAACATGACTTAATTTTTATGGAAAAACAAAATTTTAGCCTGGATCTTACATTTTGTTGTAAAGTTGACCTGCGTTTAAAATCCAATTAATAATAGAGCTGTAAAAGAAGAAAAAAAAACAAAAAACAACATCACTCCTAACTATAAAAACCCAAGGTGAAAAAATAAAGCCAGATTTTCCAAAAATTAAATCTGCAAACACCCAAAATTTTATAAATTTGTTTAATCGCCCAGCCCTACTGTGAATTGTGATTTACAGAAATAAATTTAACGTTTAAAATATTTCCGTGCAGGAACGTAGCAGCAGCTTGTCTTCTGTTAGTAGCTTTGAAGGCTACAGCAAACCGACAACTGGGGCGATGGGGGACCGCATGTCTGCACTGAAACAAGCTTTCCAGGTGCTGTTTGTAATCATGTTTTCTCTTAATTACTTTAGTTTTTTCACAGTGAAATTAATTTCTTAAGAAGATGTGTTTTAAGAAGATTGTTGTACCATACACTGAAAAATGCAGATTATTCAACCTTACATCTGAATGTTGATATTCATTAAGGAAGAAACCCGCTTTAAAATATATTTAATAAAGTTACAAGTGTGACACTTCTTACCATGTAAAGAGTACTTTAGGTGTTTGGTTTCTTTTTGACATTTTTGGATTGGTTGAATTCTTTGCTGTAAAGTAAGCTTAAATATAATCGGTCCTGTTTTTGGTGTCTGGAAAGTGAGCCATTTCACAAACCTTCCAAATGTAAAGTCACAAGTCAGCAGGTACTGCCCATTACCTAGTAAATCCAGCGAAGCCGACTGTTACCTAGCAACCCAAGCTAAGCTCAGGCCCAGTTGATCTGCTGCTTTCACCGCTGTATGCATTGTACAATGGCTGCTGGAAAAGACAAGTATTTTGTTGTTGACATACCATTGAGAAACCACCTGTCACATTGGGTTGTGCAGGAGGCTCCACTTCTGCTTTTCAAAGATGTTCATTTGTATAATTAAGCAACTGTTTACAGTCATTTTCACATGAGGGATTTAACAGTTTAAATCCAAATAAACTGTTCAAGGAAGTATAATAGATCACCTTTAATTTTCTGGTTTTGTTTTAGGCTCAGTATAAGAGCCATTTTGTGGCGGCAACCAGCGGTCCTCCGAAGCTCAGCACCAAGTCCAGCAGCTCCTCGTGTTGGACCAGCGCCGGCAGCCTGAACTCTGTGCCAACAGAGGCCGCCAACGGCTCAGAGCGACCCAACATGGCCGCCGCCTTTTCAATGCCTGGTTTCACCAGCGCCGGATCCCTGAGCTCCGTGCCCGCCAATCCAACTGGCTCTCAGCACAGCATCCCTCCAGCCGCACCCCCGACACACAGAGAGACCCCGCGGGACCGACATGGGGAGTCCCAGGGTCGTCCTGGCGACGGGCATCACCGCCACAGCGACAGGAGCGACCGGCATGGCGGCGAGGATCGCTACGGTGACCGGGACCGACACGGAGACAGAGATCGCGACCGCCATGGTGACAGGGAGCGCCACAGCAGCCGCCACAGCGACAGCCGGAATGGCGACGGAAGCAGAAGAGAGAGAGATGACCGGAGAGGGGACAGGGATGGCGGAGACAGGGGAAGCGGGGAGGGGAGGGACAGGGACAGGGAAGACGACAGCTTCGCAGTTCCCGACCCGCCCAAACGCAGAAAGAGCCGATGGGATAACTAAAGTTAGCACATCTTAGCTCCATATGTTCAGCTCCATAACAAGAGTTGGTCTGTCTAGGCAGGTAGCAGAGCAGAGCTTGAAATAAGCAGCCATTTTGGTTTAGGCGCTCAGACAAGTTGGTTTGGACTCAAGGTTTGTTCAGCACAGACAGTTCATAAACACCAACTGCACACATACCATCCAAGCTGATGTTACTGTTAGTCAAGTCGAGCATAAAAGCTGTGAATTCAGTAAAAAATAAATAAAGAAATGCAGTTCAAGATGCATTCTCACACATCTTTATGCTTGCAAAGCTCATGCCTTGTATATTTTCATTTTGTGTACTACAGATCTTCAGTTCACAGGTAAATGAACATGTCAAAGCATCTATGTGTGGCTCTTTTTGTGTACTGTATTTCTGTTTTAGTGGAGTGCCTTTCCATGGCATACGTGTATATCGCATAAATAAAAAACATGTTTGATTAAAAGCTTTGCTTTGTGTAGTTTCTTCCTTACTATGGCAGACTGCCATCTCATTACTCACGGTCATGTCTTAAATTAATTTTAAAATGCGTGTTGACTTTTAAAAATTTTAAAAGCAAGTAATAAAATTTGACTATTTAATCTCATTTTTTCTTGCTGGATATTTCTATCAGTTTGAGTCCCACTAACATTCCCTTGCTACTTAACTTACTTGTATTGATTTGGAAAAGTGTTACAATTTGTTGTTAGCTATGTTGTTCGTATTAATTATTTTTTATTTTGATATACACCAAATAATACCAAAATTTCCACGTAACTTTATATTTTGATCTGTCTGATTATGTAATTTGTAAATAAACTATTTCTGGTTTGACCAGTTTTGTGCTTGAGAAACCTTTTTACCAGCTACTTTTTTCATTCTTACTTGAGTAATTTTTTGGATGTGTACTTTTTACATTTATTTGAGTTAAAATGTGATGAAGTAGTCCTCTCATTTGAGTACAATTTGTGGGTATTTTACCCACTTCTACTCTTTGGACAAACTGCTTATTTAGGGCACCGTTATCAGAATTAGACATGACATGTTCAGGAGCGCCTGAAGTCAGACATTATGAACATCAGCAAAAGTACATTTGTGATGACTCCGATAAAAACACAATTTAATTTTAACCAAATGCTATCACCGTAAGCAAAAACTTTACGCTCATCGTAAACAAGTCCTTTTAAAATTGCCGAAATCTCGCGTGTGTCGCCAAATCTTCGTATTTCTCACGTAGTTTAATTTTGTCCGACAGAACGTGAATGCGTCCGGAACAGATGCGAGCCAATAGCGCGCGACATCCTGTCGACGAAGAAAACGGTTGTATTGAAAACCGAGACGAGGAGCGGAGCAGAGGGTAGAAACTCACCGGCAAGCAGGCTAAGCTCCCACGGCAAAACCCTCCCAGACAAGCAAAAGAAATTGGAGACAATACTTTGAGTCCAGTTTCCGAGCCAGTAGATTTCACTGTTAGCCGGGCCACCGCAGACAAGTAGCGCAGATGGTGAGTCCTGCTTTTTCTTCCTCTCTGTCCGTTGGTTTGCACCGAGTCTGCAGCCTCTTCTCTCTCCCTCTGAGATGAGGTGATGATGCCTGTCCGCTCTAAAACGATCCACCGTCCAAGATGCCTGTTCTTATTAACATCTGTTTTTATTATTTTGTTCTAATTTCAGCGGAGTGTTCATCGTTGTTCGGTTTAGATTTAAATACCCCCCACCGGGGTCTTTAAAATGCTAACAGTGCGCCAATTGTAACGTCTGGTTCGCTAGCTTGAAGGCTAATTAATACATTAAAATGATCAAATAAAACATTTGCAATACTTCTTTAGATGTGATTGCTGTTGTTTCTAATTGTATAAACAGTTAAATCTAATCCCCTCCTTTCCATTTCCTGATTTGGAAACCGCTTTGTTGCCGAACATAGTGTTATTGTTTTGTTCTGTCAAGCGTAGCAGCTCAGGCTTGTAACAGCCTTACAAATGAGCTGTTACAGCTGACATATTCACTCTATATTATATCTGTGCTCTATTTATAAAATGGAATAAATTGTATCAAAATTATATAAAAAAAAACTCAATACTGTGGTGGCATTTTTAGGTGCACCACATCTATAAATAATAAATACCCCAAAATAAAGGTAGATGTGATGTTGGACAGCATGTCAGGGCCATTGTTTCCTGGGTTATCTTTGGTGCATTTTAATTTGGAAATTATGTCCATGCATACACGAGCTTGAGTCAGGGTATTGTAAAACATGAAATACAGCCTTAAAAATGTAATTTAAACATATAAAAAGTGATCCAATTGGAAGGAGCAGTTTCTGAAAAATTGGGAAAACTACCGTCACATTTTTTGACACCCTACTAAAAGCACTAGTGTAGTTTTGTGTTTAGATGCGTAACGTTTCAAACCACTGATGTATCGTTAACAGCAAACAGCCTCCATATTGTGAAATTATTAATGACATCTGATAGCCCCTATTGCATGATCCCACTTTAATCAAGCTTCTTATTTCTATACCAACACAAGATAAACATCCCACTAAGAGCTTCACTTCCTGCTTTAGCGTTATAAAGCAGTTTCCTTCAGCTGTCTGATCGCTCAAAGACACTTTTCATCCATCCGAGGCACTACATCCTGATCGGTTGTTAATTATTTTGCCAGCATATGGCTTCTAGGCTTACCTACACTAACTTTCATTTCTTGTCACAGTTCTCAAACTGACTGATTTTCAGTAACTCAGAGACACTGCTGCCTCTTGTTTTGGTTAAATATGGGAATCCATGTCACGGTTTTATTTGTTCACCCAAAAAGCAGACGACTATGGAGCTGTAGACAAATGATATTGTTCTAATTTTGGTTTGGTTTGACTTTATTGAATGTGGTGTCATAAAAGAATAGACAAAGTTATAGACAAACGATACATTTAAAACAAAATAAGAGTAGCACTACTTCAACATATTTTTACTCAAGTAAAAGTAAGAAATTAACTCCTAAGACAAAATGTCTACTCAATTACTGAGTAACTGATCAAATTATCAATCATTTAACATTTAAATATTACATAATCAGATGGACCAAAATATAAAGTTAAGTGTAAACTTGGGTATTTTATGGACAAAAATGACAATAATTCACATAAGTATGTTCAAACCAGATGTTGGATAGTTTTATTTAATTATATGTTTGTATTTTTTTTTAAGTAAAACATATTTGTTAATGAGTTTCGCCTGTGAGTTTCCAGTTGACTCACGTCTTTCTGCACAGAAGATTCAGCCCTCTCTATAAGGAGATGTTCTTGTTGTGGTTTGTTTCTTCCATCATGGCGATGGTAGACCTGCATGAACGTATTCTGCAGATAACCACATTCCTTCCCTGAGATTTGTATCATTCCATTTCCTGAGATTATTCACATGTAAAACGAACCCTGGTGATAAATCTGAAGTTTTAAATCAAAGATAGATTTTTTTAGGCTTCATCTTCCATGTCATAATATCATTTGAGCTCTTATTTTGTTGTTGGCTGAACCTGAAGGAGTCTGACATTTCTTTTGCTGTCAGGCACTGAACTCTTTGAACAGCTTGTTTAGAAACCTACATAGCATGTTTTATTTTCAATTCCGACAAGCTTTGCTGAGACACAGTGAATCACTTTAACAAATCAGTCAAAGATTGTTTCTTAGTTCATCGTCTTTGTTCTTTGTGTGGTTGGAATGAAAATCTTGCTGCGATTGCAAAGCAGATATTTGCATGCTGGTTGTGTTTTAGTTTTTTTCCAGGGCTGGATGAGACATGCTCCGCTGAAGAATTTGATTGTGAAATATTTCATTTTCTCCTCTCCTTAATAACATCTGATCGCTGTAGAAGTATTTCGAAAAGCACCTTACATAAAGTTGCTGAAGCAAAGCTGCAGGATGCTGCATGTCTTTAGTTATGCTAATTAAAATATGAAACAGAAAAAATAAAAACTAGACTAGCATTTGACTTTGATCTTTTTTCTTATTTCATATGCCTTTGAAATAAGAATTTCAGCCAAGAACAGATATTTTTATTTATTTATTCATCAGAGCATCTCAAGTCGTTTCACAGAAACTTTTTTTTTTAAAAAAGGGAAGTAAACTTTCTGCATTGTCAAATATCACAAGCTGCCGTCTTTACTGCTGAAAAGCCAGTGCCACTTTCTATAAAGGCGCGCACGCTATTTCTCAGAATTCCTACATGCAAATAGGATTGAAATGAGAACTGTGCTTCAATTCGTTGTTTATTTTCTGCTTTTTCTCCATGAAGGTAATTTTTAAGCAAATTCTAATCAGCTTTTGTTGAGGAAAATTGATATTTAAGACATGCTTTTGGCACGATTTGTCTGAAAAAGTTGAAAAAAATTAAGAATTTAAGAAAAATATTACATCCAGTCTGGATCGTTTTTGTCGGCAGATGTTGAGCCTTTGTTCTTGTACTTTTAAAAACGAGTTAAAAAGTGTTGAGTGTGGAAATATGTGATGAAATTTTGACATCTTAGACTATTTTTCCTCACTCAAACCCCAACAATTTGACTCAGATAAAAAACATACTGTTGCATCAAACCGAACTCATTAAAGAAAATGAGAAGAAGGAAGACAAAATGGCTGCTTTATTTGTAAGTTCTGAACTTCCCCACCAGCATTTTCACATGTGACCAAATAGTCGATTTGGGTTGAATGGATTGCTCCAGAATTTTGCTATTGTTTTTGCTCCTTTAAAAATATTTGTAAAGAATTTCATGATGTTTCTATTTGAAATTTCTTCCAGAAACATGAGTAAAAAGTAACAAGCAGAAAGATTTGAGACACAAACATTTTTATCAATTGAAGATCTGAAATTGCTCCCTTTTTGTTGGCAGTGGTAGCAGAAATAAGAAATATTGCTACCTGCTACCCTTGGACTTAGCAGTCACTTAAAGGGACGGTATCATGTAAAATAGAATATTTTGAACTTGACATCATATTATAATGTTATTCCCTCATCAAAAACAAACATGGAGTGCTGCTTTATTCCTATAATATCCCTGGCACCCATTTAGTTGCACAAGACGCATGCGTGGACCTAGCTCCGCCTCCGAGGCGCAGCTCCTCCTCTGAGCTGCAGTTTCCAAGCTTCAGAGCGTCCCCCAATCAGCTCCTTCAGACTAGCCAACAGCAATTAGCAAACATCTGGTAGAACTGAGCATCAGCTGAGCTCATTAGAGGAGCTACTTTTCAGTGCAGCGCTTTTAGAAACATTGTTAAAGGGTTAATAGAGGAGCCATGTTGTGATAACTTCCTAAAGGTGGAGTGTTTAAAGGGCTAGAGGCCCAATTTCAAGATGTTTAATTATATATCATATTTGATATATATAGCATTGTTATTACAAGTAAAATTATTTATTTAGTTATGCCATAAAATGCCCCCTGAAATCCATTGATGTCTTTGCAAATTTTTGAGCAGAATTTGCAATAAACTCATAATTATGAGAGTCCAAAAGAGAAACAGTCCAAACAGAGTTCGGGTGTGATGAAAATTAACACAAACATTTTTAATTCATAACTTTGGACATTTCCAGACCGTAAACAATCAGCATATCCTTTCTTTTGAAATTATTCTTGAGTTTTATCTGTGAGTTACTAAAAGCACGTTCTGTTATTTGGCAGCTTATTATGTCATAATTATGTGGCGTCTGAAGCGCTTCCTTGTCAGACAGGAAGTCAAAACAAGACCTGTTCGCTGAGTCAATGATACATGCAGACATGGTGCTGGATGCAGAAAAATGCCCCGTCACTTTCTGGTTCCAGCAGGAAGTTCAGCTGGGGAAGTGAAATAGTGGCTGACCAGACATCTCAACATGCTGCTGGATGTGATTACTCTGCAGACCAGAGAGCTGAATCCTTAACTAAACCTCAATAAATGAGTCCAGTTCATATAAGTTTAATCAATTTTTGCAGCTAACTAATCAGCATCGAGTTTTGCTTTGTGGAAACTTCAAACCAGTTGGGAGTGTTTTCCCAGGTTTCACGACTCGGTCTCTAAATGTTTAGTTATTGATTTATGTTTGTCTTCTTTTCCAGCGAGAGATTTAGGAGACCCAAAAAGAAAATACACAAAAGCAGAGATGAAATCTGCAGTACCTCCAAACAGGAAGATATTCTCTGCCGAGTTTAGCTTTAAGACAAACTTCTAGACAGCTGTTACATTGAATTGAGCTGTTTGTGTTCAAGCTGCTGTCACAATGATTATACAATGATTGCGTTTCTAAAAATAAGGAACAGGAGAGTGAATGTTTGGATAGCTGACAGAGTACATTTTTAACATTCAAGCTTCCTTAAAAAGGCCTGCAGCAGAGAGTCGTCCTTCGCTGTGCATTCGGAGATAATCTAATTGCGAAATACCTGATTTTGTCCAATCAGTCAGCAGTTTAAATGTAAAGATTGCTTGTCTTTGTAGTCCTTGCATGACCTGATATGAAGGATTGTGTTTGCATGCCGTCTTTAGCTG